CGCCCGCATGTGCCCCAGGGCCGGCGCCTCCCGTGCACCACGCGCCGGGGGCGGGACCAGCCCAAGTTGTTGGCGGGCGTGCACAAATGCCCCGGCGGGCGCCATGGCACCCACGGGCACCACGTTGCGGACCACTGTAATAGAAAGTCTATTACAGAGCAACTAAGCAGGAAGAAGAAGTGGATGAGCGTTTTTTTTAACGCCCGCATGTGCCCCAGGGCCGGCGCCTCCCGTGCACCACGCGCCGGGGGCGGGACCAGCCCAAGTTGTTGGCGGGCGTGCACAAATGCCCCGGCGGGCGCCATGGCACCCACGGGCACCACGTTGCGGACCACTGTAATAGAAAGTCTATTACAGAGCAACTAAGCAGGAAGAAGAAGTGGATGAGCGTTTTTTTTAAACAACTTACAAAATCATCCAAAGCACAATACCTGGTGGCGATGGGGGACTTCAACGATCCAGACATCAGGACAGATTATCCACCACGTTTTTGGAATATATTGGAGGGGTTTTTTTTATTTCAGAAGGTGGAGAAAGCTACTAGGGAGGAAGCTGTTCTTGATTTGATTTTAACAAATAGGGAGGAACTTGTTGAGAATTTGAAATGAAAAGCAGATGGGTGAAAGTAGTCATGAAATTATAGACTTCATTATCTAAGGAATGGTAGAAGAGAAAACAGCAAAATAAAGACAAGTGATTTTAAGAAGGCAGACTTTGCTAAACTTAGGGAACTGGTCGGTAAGGTCTCATGGAAAACAAGATTAAGAGGAAAAAACAACTGAAGATAACTGGCTGTTTGTCAAAGGGACACTATTAAAGGTGCAAGAGTACACTACAGGCAGTCCCCGACTTACGTCGGATCCGCACTTACGAACGGGGCTTTTCTCGCCCCGGAGCTTGCGGGCAGCGGGACCGCCCAGAGCGCAGTGGTCCCACCACCGCATCCTCCGGGGCGAGAAAAGCTGCTCCGGGTCTCCCTGGTGTGCTGGAGAGTCCCCCCCAGCACAGCAGGGAGACAGGAGCAAAGCTGCAGAGGCAGGGGACCCCGCCGCCTGTGCGGCTTTGCTCGGGTCTCCCTGCTGTGCTGGGTCCCCCCCC